GCCCATCCCATTCGCTGGCAGGTTTCACTTTTTAAAAAAAAATTATTTGGAACAAAACCCAATTTTCAGGGAAATAACAAGTCAGGGCATTTCATTTTCAGTCAATTGAAATGGCTCATGGGGGGGTAGATGTTAAATGGTATTTTTAAATGAATTTCAAGGAAATTTCACAATGCAAAGCGGTTTCAGATCAAGCCAGCAAAGCTGTTCACTTCAAAAATGCCAAGTCTGTCCATTCCACCTTTTTTCAGATCTTAAAAAAAAAAAACAAAAAACCACAACAAACTACTGAAAAAGTCATCATCGTTACACATTGATAACACCATGCAAAGAATGTCACCCCTCAGTAGTCAGTGAGTTTTCCACTGGGCATCCCTGTGCAGTGTCTGATTTAGTTGGGTCCTGAAGGGCAAACCCACTCCTCAAAACTAATCCCAGGTAAGCTGTGTTACCTCCTGGGGAGATGCATAGGTCTGGGCAGGTCCTGTCACCTCTCAGCACTATCTGCCAGCACACAGGGATCTGCTGCTGAGCTCTAGAAATGGGTTGTGCAAGCTCTTCACTCCCCCCTTGAACAACAGAGCCACTTGGCTTGCACAGGCCACACTAAAGCCATGGAGAAAGGGGCAACAGACTTGGCCCCTATAGCTAACACTTACCCAGAACGCAGCTACCTTTGCAGTTGGTTGCCTCGTCTAGCTCCACTTGATGGGTTGCTGAGCACAGAACGAGCTCCCAAATCCTGAAAGTATAATGTTCACTGCCCAGCTTGAGACGGACTTTTTCTGGTCCACACCTATCCTTTGGCTGAAAGACCCTGGTCCTGGGAAATAAGTGGAATTATTTCACAAGTCTGGTAATGACTCTCCCCAAAGATCACAAACAGGGCAAAGATCGCATAACCTTTGCGCTGGATCCTGCGACTGTCACCAAGCATTTAGAGCAAGAGCGGCAGGAGTTTCTGGCACACGTTTGATTGAAGTAAAAGGCCACAGGCCTGCTTGTCAACTGCTCTGTCCTTCTGAGCTCAGTCATGTCAGGGATACCTTGAGGCAGCCGTGCAGTGCACAGTTCAGTTCAGCAGTACACATGCTATAAAACAATACGACTCTCTGACTCCAGATCTGGGTTTCGGTGTTTCACTCCTTTCTCAGAACTGAAAGTTGAGATCAGTTACCAAAAATGATGGGTGCCTGCCTCCTCTCTAAAAGGGACCCCATCAACTCAAAATCAGACACTGCAGAACGGGGAGTTTGAGGTAGCCCTTCTCCGCTGTCAATTTTGGTGATTTCACAGTCCATGTTTTCCTCCTCGAAAAAGTTTTTCTGTGCTCTGTGGCTGCATAAAAAGCCTACATAAACTGCAGGGGAAAATAAATAAGGCTGTAATCTGAGGTTCATTACAAAGTGCTCAAAGGAGAACAAAGTGAACAGAGTAGAACAAAAAAAATCTGTTTTTTCAGGTATTCTGGTGTTATTTATAACAATCTATAGGAAAAAAAATAAAACAGGCGTGTGTTACAATGGCAGTACCCCTTTAAAAAATATCACTTTCCCCTGTTATCACACATTCATAGACATGGTCAGTACAGGGAGCTCCAATTTCGATGAATACAGCTTACAGCTATAAAATCAAGCCAGAGCACTTGTAGCATTGAGGCTGGAAAGTATATATAAAGCCAGTTTGCTCTGTTACTTATTATGAAATATGCCCAGTCACTCTTGCCACTAACTGACCTTTCAACTGGGAACAAAGGTCAAGGAGTTAACTAATCGTCCAGTGTCTTGGTAGAATAACTGGAGACAAAGGGCTGATTTAATCAAAATGTATCAGCAATTTTGATTAAATCAACCCTAAAATGTAGTGGCTCCTAAAATGTGGCTTTTATCTCTGTTGCATTTTTCAAATTAAATCCCTTATACATCAGGCCTGAGCAAAAAAATTCTTAGCAAATGAACTGCAATACAGTAGCTAAAGTATGTAGCAGGTGGATTTCTTGGTGAAAAGGAGAAACACAGTACACCATGTCCTTCTGCCTGCCCGCCTGCCTGCAGGAGACAAAATTCCCACTCAGAAACCCAATAAAAATGTATTTCTTTTATAACAGCTTCATCAACTATACATTGTTTCTCTGAAAAAATGGATATGATTCTGAAGTCCTCCAAAATCATCAAGAACATATTTCTTTTCCAGTGCATCTCAAAAGTATATAAAAAAAAATATTGCCTGCAAACAGCTGAAACAGATGGTCTATTGTGAATCCCCCATAGCCTCGTGCAACCATGAGTCAAAATCATTTTGTAAAGTGGTAAAAAAAATCCATTTCTAGATTATAAGCCTTCCAAAAATCCCTTTGGACTTCCAAATTCAAAGTCAAGAAAAAGGAGGGCTCTGGCCATTTCAAACCCGCTAATAAACTCAGACCTAGACCATCTTTTATTCTCCACTTGCACAGCGATAGAAAGTCATCAGTTTTATTAATATATTATATTATGGAAGGAATTCTCTCCTTAAACAAGAATGGCACTGTGGTTCCAGTTAATAACCATTTTATACTATCAAGGTCTCTCCTGTCACTGTGCCATCCAACTCTAGCGTCGTTATCCAGTCTAATCCGAAGCACAACCTGCAGTGCAGCCCTTTTGTGCCCGCTCAGGCAAATAGACAGCCCTCCAAAGTGCCCCTTCCCCTTTCACAGTCCTGTCAAATCCCGGAGCATCGCTCTCCTGCTGTCACTGCCCCATCAAATGTCCAGCATCGTTGCCTGCTGTCACTTCCCTCTCAGGCCCCCTGTTGTAATACATAATTATCTTTGTGGAAATAATGTTTCAGGAGATAAAAACAACCACCTAAGGCTAGGGTGTCTTTGATCAGCGCCAGCCCTGATCAGGAGATTCGGTCTTGGGAGCTTACAACAGCGGACGAACCAAGACAAAGCCCCTTCCCTTCCATGTCATTCTCACAGCGCATTGATTCTGCCTGGTAAGCAACCCCTCAAGCAAGTGGTTTCATTGCATGGAATAGTTTGTGATTAGAAAGAAGACAAAAAAAAAAACAACTTGCCAGATGGGGAACTCTGGTTTCCTGCTTCTCTGCAGAGGCTCCAAGGACTTCTCCACTTCTCTGGGAGACTCTCCTCCTTGGTCATCTTCATGCTTGGGCTGCCCCTCTCCATGTTCTTCTATCAGCCCCATCAGGCAGTAGAGATGAGGAGTTCTGGAGATTTGTGGGCACATCATGGGGACATCAAAGCCAGCAGTGCAATTCTGTAAGGAGTTGACAGAAACTTACTGCACGCACTGTACTACTTTATGATTTATTTAGACTCGCCCTTTCAATTATTCATGCCACCCTTCAACTGTGCAGCAGGACAACAATGGCAGCACCACAGTGACACAAAGAGTGAATAATCACAGCTGTAGCAGATGTTTAGGTATTGATACAAGCTATATATTACCAACAAATATTAAGCGACAGGTTAATGATGTGGTTCGGGAGACAGCCCTATTATTTACAGGTAGGCAGGAACCCTTGCTCCTTTGTTCTGCAATACAATGTTTGCATAGACGAAGTGACAGATCCAGGGCCAGGTTCAGCTGTAGCCCCATGGTAGACAGTACAGGGGGCGGTCAGACCTGTAGCCATGGTAGAG